AGGCAGCCTCCATCCTTCCTGACACTGGACATCGGGGCAAAGCTTCTTTTGCAAAACCTTTTAACATTTATTTCATCCTTCAGGCCTTCAATTCCCTGTGCCGCAGGAAATCTCCATCAACATACAATATTGAAGGATCTAGGAGACCTGTGGGCATCGACATTTCGCGATGGCTTGGTGATTCGTTGCAGCCTGAGGCGGAACCAGACCCCTTCGCAGGCATTGTCGCCATCATCTACGCCAAGGCAGGGACGTGCAGATTTGGCTGCCGCATAACGCGGCAGCATTGCATTATCATCAAAGCTTACACCGAGGAAGCTCAATTTGCGCATTGGACTTTGAAGCTTGCAGCGCATGTAGTCCAACCAACGCCTTCAAGCGATGCCATTGTGGATATTTGGGTTCAAGCCTTGAGCTCAATCAGCGCTCAGGTTCAAGATCATTTCTGCACGACACAGCCTGTGTAACTAGCACCTGCTTTATCTGAACATTCCAGACCTGCATTGTTGGCCAGTGCGCCTCAAAGCCATGGGTGGAAGGGATAGCAAACCAGAGCCTCCCAAGCCTGCCCCGAGCTTGCAGGCATTTACGTTTTGGGATGTCTTTGAAACGTTTGGCCTAGATGCTCAATGCTGCGGCTGTATGTTTTCCTCTGTGATCAGGGTTTTGCCCACGCCAGGATGCTGCGAGCAACTTGGAGCAGAAGATCGAGGAATTAGGATCAAAGATCCAAAAGGCTGACGAGGAGGCTCACTGACTGCGCTTGTGTCAGGCTTTCATTGGTTGTCAAGCACGTGTGACATGTTTCGCAACTGCACGTCAATGAGCAGGCCCGTCAGTGGGTGGCGAAGCAAAGCACCATGGTCAGATAGCCTTGTTCCGTTGCAAAAGTTCCTCACTGTCGAAGAAATGAGCACCGGAAGCTCAGCCCATTCTGTTGCTTTCTGTGTGCAGCATGGCAAACTGCAATGTAGTGCAGTCAGTCAGCACTTGCCAGTCACTAGCGTCTCCTCATCTTTTCATGTCATGAAGCCAGAAGTCACGGCTGCGTTAGTGATTTTCCCAACCATACTGCCAAGGCACTGATGCAACTGCGAAAGCACGCGCCATGCAAGCGTTGAAGCGCATCTTGGCGGCGAGAAGTCTACTTGGGAAACGTGTACATCTGCTGCTTGCTGGCCTTGTTTCGACAGAATATCTTGCTTGCCTGATCGCACGCGTGATCTAGCACGCGCAGTCTATGTGCCTGTAGAGATTTTAAATGGTTTAATATCTCTCAACTAAGGCAAGAAGCTTTACGAGCAACAGCGTGATCAGTTGGTGCTGAACTCATGAAAAAGTTTGTCCCAGAAACGAGTGCCATGCGGTCTTGTCTGCACAGGTTGACACACAATTCAACGTGGACAACCTTGCCTTTCAGCAGGAGCAGGTGCAACTGCCACAGCTGCGATTTGAAGCTAGAATGCGCAAAGGGACGGCACCCCGCAATGGCAAGCCTAAATTTCGAAGAGCATCTTCCTCAAACATGCGTAGTGTAGGAAGCTTTACAGCTGCTTAAGCCACGGCAATGCTGCTCTGTGCAAGGCTGAGGGTTTGGCAGCCCCCCACTGCAACCTATAGAAGGTGTGCCGGCAGCTTAAGACATGATGCTGCTCTTTAAACAGTGCGGGTGCAGCCTTCTGGTTGACTGCAGCAGCAGTTGAAGCTTCAACGGAGATCTCAGAAATGTTGGAAATCAGGCCCGCTGCTCTTTCAAAACCGTGGGGGGAGAAGCGCAGAGCCGAAAAGCTTCGTGGCCCAGGGTTGCTGCTAGCCCAAACTTGCAATCTTTTTGAAAAGCCTTCAAGCTGGCCCAGAAAGACGTCGTGTTTTCAACGCCACGCTATGTCGGGCTGACAAACCAAATTTGTTTTCTACGGCTGCAGGCGGAGATCACTGCAGGGACTGTTGCTGCAATGAAGAAGGCCTAGTGCCAGGTGAAGACTGTTGTGCGAATTTGAGACATGACTGTAGATTTGTGCAGGCGACGGAGCAACTCAAGAATCAAACCCAAAAGATCGGTGTGGACCAGGCCAGGGTCTCAAAAGTGGCCGGGAACTGTTCATCAAGTTATGCAGGGCATGATGAATAAGGTCGATAAGCTGACAGATGAGATGGCAGACATTGCAGCAGAAATGAAGGACGAACTTTTTAGGCATAGCTGCTTGCATTGTCCAACCAGGAGTTGTCAAGCAGCACAGGTACATGTGATTGCATGTGTTTCGTTGGTGCCTGGCCAATCACACGGGGCGCTATCCGTAAGATAGTCAGAAGTGTGAAGTGTACACCGTGTGCACCGTGTACACCTATGCCAAACCAAGCAGCTTCGTCAGTCGTCACGTGGCCACAGTTCCATAGCTTTTCGAGCAGGAGGCTGCAAAATCTAAGAAGCGCGCTTTAATCAGAAGCGCGCACAGGTACCGTCGTCATTTAGCCCGTCGTTTTGACGGATGGGCAGACCTTGCGCTCCACCATGCATAGCATCAACTTCATGCATTCATGCTTCACTTGGAAACTAGCCAACAGCTTTGACAGGGCTTGTCTCTCGTTGGTTTGCTTGTGCTGGAGCGGGTTGGGCTTTTAGGCCAGGGATGGCCAGTGCATGCTTCTAACACTTCCCTATGCACCCACACCTTTTGCTGCTCCCCCTGTTGTTCAGGTTTTGATTTTCAGGAACTGCAGGTGTCGACGGTGTGTACCTGCAGCATCTCTGAAAATTCCCGCCCGCCCGCCCTGGACTGGCGCGGTGTGATTCAGGCTTCCTCCGCGCTTTCTTTTCTGCGCACCAGGTTGCGCTTAGGGGTGGTACTTCTGCAAGGGCTGCAAGGGGAGATGTCTGGTTGCATCTCCCCCTGCTATTTGTGCTGTCTGCGCATTGTCCAAATAAGTGTGTTGCTTTGGGCTAGTGTTGGAACATGCAGCTCCTGCTGCTTTGTTGCTCCTTAAGCATCTTTGCAAACCTTCACAGGGCCAGACTAGCAGGGACAGAGCAGCATTTGTATGTCTGATATTCTATCCTGCAGCTTTCCCATGCCAGTTACGGGTGCATTATGACGAGCAGAAGCGCTCTGCACAAGCACAAGCTCGGCTCCACAAAGCCCGAGACCTTCTATAGTCTATAGGTTTTGCAAGACTGGTGTACTGCCTGAGCATCAAGCACGTCAAACTAATCTGTAGTGATCTTCACGTTCTCGCAACTAAGTTTCCATTGGTTCATTCGTGCTGGGCCTGAATTGTGGAAGCATTAACCTTGATCTGATGCAATGCAACAGACCTAGTCGGAAGCCATGCCATGACATTTGGCATGCGGGGATTCTTCCACGCTAGATGGGCATCGCAAAGCTTGCTTGTTCAGCTTCGTAATGCCGATCTGGAAGCTTTCACACCCTTTCGTACGCTGTGGCAGAAAGGGGAACACTCGCAGATGCTACAGTAGGTGCCCGACCCTGGAGCATCGCTGTTATGCAACTTCTGTCAGGACATCCAGTCAGCGTTAGCTGCACCCACAGCAGTGGGCTCCGCGGCAGAGGACGAGGCCGAGAAGGAGCTAGCAGCCAAATTCTCAGCAAATCCTTTTCCAGGGATTGTGCGGTCCGTGAGGTTGTTGTTGCTTTCGGGAAGTTGTTGCTTGATGCAGCCAAGGCCTTGTATGCGCAGCAGCAAGACAAAGAAGCGGAGGAGGTGATTGGTTCAATCAATCAATTGTGGCAGTACGTTAATTTACACTTGCATCTTGCCCTGGCCTTCAGCCAGGCAATGACCATCCTCGCTGCTGGAGGCGGCTATGCAAGCACCACCCCGGCGCCAGCCGTGGCGGCAAAGGCAGCAGCCAAGGCTGCGACGCCGCTGGGTGCTTGAGGCTGGTCGCCTCCAACATCATTGCTTGTGCACACTTGTTTGGGTCTTGACGCTGTCAGCATGTTCTTGATGTCGGTGTACATTGCCAAGGCCTGCTTACTCAAATAGATGTCCCAGAGCTGCATGCGGCCAGGCTTGTACATGGAAGGCAGATTGCAGTGGGCTTCGCAAAGACGCGCAAGCCATTCCCAGAGGGAAGTGAGTGAGACGCATGTTTTCGTAGGCCCAGTGGGTAGCCTGCGTCTAATTTGAAGTTCTGCTTTCCTGTCCATTAGTGTTTCAGCTTCCGCGTATTGATGCCGGGAGCAGAGCTGCTGTTTTTGCCAAAGGGTAGGCTTTGCTTGATAGCCTCTCTCTTCTGTGGATAGTTTTACGCCAGACGCCAGAATTGTCGAGCCATCTCATACAGACATGATTCTGCGCCCCCAGCTACGCATTAGATAATGTATTCATTCTGCGGAAACTTAGGAGCAAGCAGCTCAACAATTTGAGGTCCGGTCATTTGCTCCGGAACAGCATGCAGAAATCGGAGGAAGCATCGACAAAATTGGAGCCACTTCAATGGTTTTAGACAACGCCTCGCTGTTTCAGTGTCAGGCAGGGCGCGGAGGACATCAAGGCCTTCCTATGGAAAGCATCCCATGCAGCGTGATCCTGCTCGTCTTGCGCATGAAGGATTACTGATGCAAGAAGCACTTGTATGCCAGTAGACGGAGCTCCCTTTGGCTGACTTGCTTCCAGAGCTTCAGATCACTGCAAGTGCCTGATGAAGTTTGTTGCTTATGACCGCATGCATCTTGATTTGTTGTTGTCATGCGGACGTCAGCGGCTACGTCTCTTGTTACATCAGCTGCCTTGCAGCATTGTCTGTATGCTCCCATGCGGTGAGCCCAGCCACAGCCAATCTGGAAGAAGGCAAAGGCAAAGCTTGAGATCCGCCACTTCCTTTGCTATCGATAGGATGGCTACAAGTTGAAGCGGGTCTAATACCGGCCGGGTGACCATGCGCTCGGAAAAGGCGTAGTGCTGGTGTAGTCAGACGTGTGGTTACGCGAGCTCGAAGAGTAGCGAGGAGAACCAGCGCTTTCTCAAGTTGAGCTCAGGCCTGGACGGTACACCCAGCAGCTCATCTCTCGAGCAAGGGAGGCCAGAGGCAAGTCCGCCAGCATCAGATTCAGCGCGCGGCTTGCCAGGCCGGCTTGCAGGTGCGGGAAGTTCGTTCAGCACCGCTCTCAGACAACCTGTCACAGCTCACTGCCTACCATAAAATCAAAAGGTCAGTAGGCCTGGATTAAGGCGCATCGAGCTAGTACTGAAGCATTGGGATTCATGCCGAGGTTGATGCGGTGAATGCTTTGGCAGCGGACCTCGCTCAAGAAGATGCCGGGCACTGGGAATCTAGTCGCCGCGCAAGTTGCCACAGGCTATCAACCTCATTTGTAACAAACTCTGCCAAGTCCGACACAGGCAGGCGCAGGCGACATCGGGCTCATTGTCTCCTGTGGAAGTACTGACCTCATTGATGAAGCATGCAGCTTTAGCATTGGCCACATGCAATGCAGACAACAGGCCCAGTAGTGCTCACTGAGCCTGTTGACCTTCGGGCACATGTTGCCAAGACGTGGATTTCTCAGGGCTGTATTGCTTGTTGTCTACCATGCTTTCCTGTTTGGGTGATTTGTGCCATTTCATAGTACCTGGTTCATGCTTTGCTAGTCGTCACAGCCGCCGACTTCTGATAAGGACAGCTGCCATGTTGCAGTTCCCAGACGTGCCCAGCTCTCACTCAGCGATCTCATGAAGTAGCATTTCAGGTGCTGCCAGTTGGTGTCTGTGTCTGTGATTGAGGCCAGTTGTTGGGATTTGCTACGGCATGCAGCTCCTGACAGTACTGTACGGAGGAAGATTATTAGAGCATCTTGATGGCGAGAGATACATGGATGGCTGTGGTTGTTCAGTGATCAGAGCCTTTGCCAATTTCGCGTGATTCATGTCATAGCAAAATCCAAGAGTCTGCTATCCCGTTGCAACAGCATGTAGGGGAGTAGCTGATTGCGTTGTGTTCTTTATTTTTTGACAGGATTGCACAACATCACTTTTTTCACGCATCGCAAGAGTTCTGCTCGATGCCACGCAGTGACAGTGGCAAACAAGCTTTGCTCTGATGCAACCACCTTTGCCTTGTTTGTTAGCACACGTGTGGGCGTTTCGGCATAAGCCTAAAGACCCATTGAAGCAAAGCCAGCCCTTGCAGGCTTCATTCAGTCAAATCCCGTTGGTGGACTCCTCTCCTTTTTATCAAATCCCGCCCTTGCAGTCTTGCAAGCCTAATCGGATCCCGCCGCTGGACCCCTCATGATATTTTCCATGAATGTTTCCATGTGCTTTCATGGTACTCGAACCGTGCCCATGCAGTCTTCCAAGTGCGGCTCAATGAATCAAAATCCCTCTCCTTCGGAAGACTGCAAGGGCACGATTCGATTATAAGGGGCTATGGGAGGAGTCCAAGAGCAGGATTTGAAGACTATGATGGCAGGGGTTGATGAAAGTGGACAGGGCTTGTGAAAGTACGATGGCGGAATTTTGATGAATTTGGAGTAGGGGAGGAGTCAAGCAGCGGGATCTGATTAAATTCGACAGGGCTAGGGCGGGATTTGATTAAATGGGGCTGGGGGAAGGGTCCAGCAGCGGGATTTGATCTATTTGGGAGGATGGGATCTGCTTGAATAGGGCTAGGAGAGCATTCCATCAGCGGGATTTGATCAAATCAGGCAGGCAGGGCTTGGAAGACTACAAGGGCGATATTTGATTAAATAAGCAAAACCTAAGTGGCAAGGGTAACCCCCCCATAAGCAAAACCTAAATGGTAGGGTTAACTCACCCGTAACCAAAACCCAAATGGCAAGGTCAGCCCCCCCATAAGCAAAACCCAAATGGCAAGGCTAATCCCCCCATAAGCAAAACCAAAAGCCACACTTTGCCCCCCCCAGAAGCAAAATCTAAGTGGCGAGGTCAAAGCCTGCATAAGCAAAACATAAATGGCAAGGTTCACTTCCCAGGAACCCCATCAGGCCTGGCCCAATGGACTTAGGCAGCCTAAAAGCCTGGCAGAAGGAGAAACGGGACCCCCTCATTATGCTGATGATGCTGGCCAAGGGGGCCAGCATCATCAGGTACGTTTCTCCAATTTTGGCCTCCCAAGTGCCCAATGACCTTTCATGCATTCTAGATTCTTCTCAGCCTTACCCCAAGAGGGGCCTTGGGGCTAGTTTTCAAAACGGTTTTTGGGGATCCCCAAAATCCTTCAACAATCTCTCCGTAGCGGGGCGGATTCGCTTCCGGAACGCCAGTGAATTTCAGTTCAGAGTGGTCTTGGAGCGGGTTCGGGAGGGGCCCTGGGAGAAACGGAGGTCCGATGATGCACCGGCCCGCGGGTCGGCGGCTGTGGCGCCCCCCCCCCCCAAAGAGCTAAAGCTCCAGACACGGGCTCCGCCCTGGGCTGGATTTAAGGGCTGGCGCCGCTGCCGCCAACCCCGGCAGGCGGGCAAACCTGCTTTACAGAAGAGTGGCGGGATGCGAAAAAGAACATCACGTGCAAGCACGCTTGTCCTAGATGTGGCACTATCGTGCACAGTTGCCGCGTGTCGGGACAAAACTGCAACGACAGGATGGCGTGCCCTGCGATTGCCAGACCTGGCAAGCCCCGAAACTTGGGACAGAACAGGGAAACGAGCATTGAACGCAGTGAGGGGGTGGAGCGGGGGTGGGGGTGAGTGTCTGGCAACACTTCTGAATGAGTCCAAGAGAGAGGCGGCAGGAATGTTATGGGGGACAGCAACCCGACCTCGGTTTGATGGGCAGCCCATGGTAAGGGCAGGGGTGCAAGGAAACACCCGGTCCTGGGATCCAAGTTGAGAACCTGCTTCCTGACGGTGACTGGGTGATCGAAAGGGCCTTCAGCAGGTTCAGCTTCCGAAGAATCGTTCCCTTGGTCAGGAGGCGAAGGGACCTCGTCATAGGCCTCGTCCTCCGCCACATCGCTGTCCCACCAGCCACGCCAGTCATCATAGGGCTCTTCATCCTTGGGGAGGGCGAAGTCGCTAGTCTCCTGGGAAACGCCCAATCTCTTTGTGAAGTCTAATGATCGCCTCCACAAACCCTTCATGAACCAAAGTCTCCCGAACAAGAAAATTGCCAATGGACTCTTGTTGCTGACGCCTGAAGGACAAGTACTGTTGACATATCGCTGCAGCGTTTGGCAGACTATGTCGAACTAAAGGTCTCGCAGCCAATCGTTGCAGGAACAGTCTAGAGCCACCAACAGAATGATCAATCAAAAGCAGTTCGAGACCAACTCATTGCCAAAAGTCTTGCTGGTCTTGAAAGTCTCCCGAGGAGTCTCGAAGCACAGTACTTGCGTTTATGGACAGGTGTCGCCTAAACAAACCATGCTACTTCTCGTGTGCATCGTCTCCAGGACCTTGCTTGTCCATCCCAGCCAGGTACAGATGACTGCTCCTTGCTGTCTGCCATGCTCGATGAGGAGAAACTGAAAAGGAAAAACTCCAGAGATAACCAAGTATCGCTATACTAATCTTCGGATACCTCCAGCTGAGTGCGCGCGCCTCGTTCCTACGGAATGGCGCCTAGACCAGGAGTCTTGCTCCGCTACCAATGCAGCGGAGCTGAACTGGTAGCATTTGGGCTCAACACACAGCAATTTTAAATCGTCTCAATGATAGGAAGTGCACACAGCACTGCTTTGTAAGAAGAGCTCAGCGCTCTGTCCGATGGCTCACAGCACTACAAAAAGGAGTGCAAAAGGGGCGCCCCTTACGTCATGCCCTTGAATCCGGCGAGTCACTGTTGATATGACATGTCCGTACTGAAGCTGCAGAATCCAACAAAGAAAAAAACATAATCCCAAACAAAAGAGTTGGGCTAATGATTGGCTAATGGACCGCTGCATGGCGCCACGTGAGTCGAGTTCCGGCGCGCGGGAATTTCAGGCAACGGCGCCCTAACTTGCTTCTGGGTTTGGGGGGTGTGGGGGTGGGAGAGTTGGGTTGGGGGGGAAGTCATGTTCCTGCTGACCTTATCCTTGTGAGCCCAAACCCTGAAACCCCAACCTTTATGTATGTTGTACAAAGAGGGAAAACACTGCAAAACCAGTTTTTTGGGAGGTTTTGGGCATTGTCGCCATATGAATGGGCGTTGCTACCCCCTTTCCCCGACATAAAGAAAACGAAAGACACAGAAAGCAAGAAGGAAGAAAGAAAACCAGAGCGAAAGAACGGGGCCTGACAAAGTTACGCTGTTGCCGCCTGAGTTTTGGCACGTTAATCATCTCAAACCATGCTACCTGATGCGTCCTGTTATAAGAAATACGTTTTCCCAGGTTTTTGACAGTATGCACCGAGAAGCTATAAACACAAACGCAGGGCACACTACAGGCGCCGTTACCTAATTTCACCGTTCATCAATTGTTTCCACCTTAGTATGGATGGATAACACCACACGTTATATAGAAGCTCAGCCTCTTGCGCCCCGAAGAAGGACATGGACAAGTGCTGAGAAAAGGTCTCGGGACCATGAAAGCACCAAGCGCCCCATCCCCGTCAGCTTTGTGCGCAGGTCAAATGATTGATAACTCAGCTTTCGACAAAGTTGACCACAGCGCCAGGATATTGGGGGCCAAACATGTTTCGGTTTGGATGATTAAAATGCTTTAACCGAACCAATAGATAGCAAAACAATGGGACTTAACAGCAGGGTTGCAAAAAGACACAGCAAACATAAGACAGGGTGCTGTTAACAGCTCCTTTAGATTCCTTTGCCCTAGCAGACTGATACCTCAAACAAGTCGACACATTCCAATTTCGATGTTAATAAAGACCCAAGGTGCAGAATGATGTATGGAGCATCAAGAGCTGCAGACTCGAACCTTGCTCAGAATGCTGTCTTTTCCAACGGATCTGAACACCTTCAAAGATCAAATCCCCGTACTGGGGAAAAGACGGGGACAAACATTCCATGAAGCCAGAACAAAGCAATGCCGACGGTGGAGGAGAGGTAAGTCAATTAGATCACAGCACAAATATTAGTTGGAAGTACGTCATGAGGCGCGGGAGATAAATGATTTGCTAATTGAGGGAGAAGCACCGAAGTACCCGCACCGGCTACATGAAGGACTAGCAGAAAAAGGGGGGACCTAAGGGCTAACCCATAAAGCTGTAACTATCACATATCTATGTTTCACGAGGGCTATACTTATGCACAATGGTGTCACTGTAATTACAATGTGAAACTTTAAGCCTTGTGACATTGTATCTCGAAGCCTGCTGGTGCCAAATGGGAGACCAGCCGTGATACATGATGGAAGCAGCGGGGCGGGTATAAGCACAAAGGGCTATGCCGATTGCTTTGGGCTTGGACTACTGGTGGCTGAGGCAGCGAGAAAGTGCCCATAGAGGGGAGTGACTTGGATACATCACGAGCTGGCTGTCCTGCAACTCGCAGCAGTGCTACTTTCTTTGAAGAGCTTTCAGGTGGGCGGAGTTGAGGCGATCGCATGTAAAGTCGCGGTTGTGTTGCCGGCCTGTTAAGTGGCATTGTGGGTTCGTCTTCCTGCTTTGGCATGGCAATGTATGTGCATAATCCGAATCCAGGAGAGAACCTGCATCCCTGAAGTGTCCTGTTTTGGTTCTCATGCAATTGCTCCGTCAACGCAGCAACGTGTGCTAGCATAGCAAGAGTTTGTGACGAACACCCATGAACAGATGTTGAGGGCAGTCAGGGCCCTGCTTGCTACATGAAAGCATTGTTGCAAGCTTGCTGCAGTGGAGTTTTTGCCGATAGAGCCACTATCACAAAGACATGGCATGGCAGCGGCACTTTTGCAGAATCGTTGAATGACACCATGTCGTACTCAATATCTTCATGGAGCCGCAAAAGTGCGTGGAGAATGGTGGGTGTACTGAAGAAGGTGACTTGCTGGCATTTCTGAATGTGGTGCGGGATGTGCAAATGTAGGCTCTCAGCACTGGCTCTATCTAAAGCGATTGCACTTACAGCATGTTTGGTCCGCTGGGCAAGATGTGAAACGTCTAAAAGCAAAAGGTTAATCAAACAGCCACTTGAAAGCTCAAGGTGAAGATTGGAAGCAACTTACTGGAAAGCAGTTGACCTCGACCATTCGAGTGGTGGGCAGGTGCATATTTGCGAGTACCGGTGTGTGTCTTTAAGCAAATTTGCTTTGTAAGCCGATGTCTCTCTGGTGAGGCGCAAGGACTGGCAGGCTGCGCTGAAATTGCTGCACGACGTGCAAGGCGCAGTCACATTTGGATGATGCCTTCTTGTCATTCTCGCCTTGGTCAGTGTTTGCTGTAGGCTCGCAGGAGTGTCAAGCCGAGCTCAGCATATTCAGCTATGGTGCAGCCATTGCAGCGTGTGAAAGGACGGCCTTGTCACTTGTTTTACGCAATTTCCTTTGATTCGGATTCAGGGGCGTTATCGATGTCTCGTGGCAATATGATTCGGCCATGTTGTTGAGCTCTGAAGGTCGCAATTTTCCTATGCTCAGATGATTTGCATGTATTGCCTTCTACTGCCGCTGCGCATGCAGGAAGAAAGCCTTGCAGACGTCTTACGAGTTCCAAAAAAAGGGATCCAACAAATTGAAAATCCACATGAATCATGCAATGGAAGCTTGTATAATAATGCAGGGTGTTCATTGACGTTGTCTTTTTTGGTCAAACGTCGACAGGCCGGAGTGGAGCAGCCACACTTCGCAAGCATGTACCATGTTCCACTCAGACTGCGGGCAAAAGCAAGCAAAGTAGTTGCGTGGCTTGGCCAAGCCATGCGTCGCCTGTTTCTAGCTTGATTCTTGTTGTTTGAGTTGGAAGGGCTGAGCGCCGGAAAGGGTGGGCTTCGTGAAGCTCGGTCGGCTAGTTCCCTGCCTGTGATACATTTTCCCAGGAGTGCGCAGTGGTCTTGGGCCTTGCAGCTTCTTGACGATCTTCATGCAAATGGCTTCGAGCAGCTCGGTTGGATTGACAGAAAGGCACTGGCAGCGGCGAGCTTTCTGAAAAGAGTCGTTTTATCCTTCATTGTATGCGCCTAACAGGAGCCATTACAGAAACGGCATGATGATGTGGGTAAACTGCTTCTGGCTGAGGCCCAATGTCATTGTTTGGAGTTCCGCGTGCAGTGCGTGCGACAAGGTCCAAGCCAGAATGTGATATCAGGGCCACAGAGATGTCAGTGACCAATGTGATGTCAATTACTTTGATTTGCATTTGCAAGGCCGAACGTTGGCTTGAGTCGTTGTCTCTTCTGCATCAGATGCCAATCCGGAGGCAAGCAGCGATGCCCACACTTTGTCAGAAAGGGGAATGCCCTGGCTTGAGTGCTCAGTGAGGCCAGCCCAGCCTTTGTTCCCTTTGCAGGCTGCAGCCCAACACTATCTCCTTCGGAGCAGCACTGAGCGCATGCTCTCGGGTGGCGAAGTGGCAGCACGCCATCATGCTCCTACAGGATGCGAAGGTCAAGGCCGGAGAGGAGTAGAGGAGTGTGAAGCAGCACCGGCTGTAGCTCGCCTGGCAATTGACCCAAGTCGCACCAGGGCATTGATGTGAACATCGTGCTTTGGAACTCAGCAATCGCAGCTTGTGCAAGGCCTACTCGCTTCTGAATTTGTTTGTTCTCAATTGCCAGTTCTGTTCCTCTTTAAGTGGCGGAGTCTGCCGCACTAGTACCAAGGTTTGCTTGTGTAGCCTTTGCGCAGGGGAGGCGAGTGGTTTTTGGCCCTGCATCTCCTGGAAGTTCTTCAAGAGGCCTGCTGAGCGTCATTGCAATATTAACGCTAGTGCGCGCCGGAGTCGGCTCGAGGTGGGCTGGCGGACATGCACCCGAAAGCTGAACCTCAGAAACCGAAATCTTGAAGGTTTGGGGGTGTTGGAAACCAGCTCCTAGGGACCAGCATATAACCCGGGGAGTCTACTGGAACGTCCGGAACCTGAAGCCTTATCCCAGCAATTCTGTGGAACCACTTTCACTCGCGGCGTGGAAGGCAAAGAGGAAGAGAGAGAGAAACAAAAGATAAACTTGCAACGAACCCGAGATCCTGAAAGGGTCCGCGCGGTGGGAATTTGTGTGGCGGGGCAAGGAGACGGCTTCACGATAGGGCAGCAGAGGTATGTTTCACATCAGGTGTGCTTCATTTTACATAAATGGTTTGTAGGTGTCTGGAAAGCTCAGCTATGCGTTAATGTGTTGATGCCCAACCAAAGAGGACGTGCGCGCATGGGTCGGACAACCCAAGCCTGAGCATCCCAAGATGCGCGCATCGTAAAAAAAGTCTAAATGTCAGATCTCCTAGGAAACAAGTGCGGCTTCATGTCTTCACTGAGAGTGCCGTACCTACAGCAAGACACGGCATCCAGCATTGCCAGACTGACAGATGGCATTTGACTTTCATACAGAGACATGACGCGATCCCTATGTTCCTTACTGCGCAGTTTCAGTCAATTGGTTGAACAGCATGTGCTTTCTCAACGTCGCTCATAACCCCCTTGCTTGTACTGCAATCTAGACGCAGATGCAGACTTGTATTCTCTGGCGGTGAAACAGTGCAAACCCGTTGGCAAGCAGGTTCTTTACTGGAGCAATGTCACTGCTATTGTCAGCAAAGCACGTATCCCGGTGCCATAGGAGGGACTTCAGCCGGACATACTGAGCTTCAATGCGTGTGTCAGTGCGGCCGCAACCAGCAGCTGGCAACTTGCGCTTCTCTGCTAAGATGCATGATGAACCGCGGGGCTGCGACAGCTGGGCTATCAGGAAATCAGATTTGATGATTTCTGAATGTTTCGTTTTAAAGTTTGTGCTGCCCGCTACGGGTCAAGTTCGCTTTGAAATGGGTGTGAGCTGCTGTTAGCTGGAAGCTGGGGATGGAAGGGTGGCCATGCATTTCAGTCGTAAAGCGGAAGTGGCTTATTTGGAAGTTTGTCTACATCATCCTTACATGGGGCTCGTGCATTTCATGTGTGAAGCATGATGTGGCGCAGGGTCAGGCTGTAGTGGTTGCGCGTTAAGATTCCTAGTGATTGGACAGACGTGGGCGGCCCGCGCCTAAATCCACGAGCTTTACTTGGCCGTAGCGTGGCCTAAAGCCCCTAGCGAAGGCAGCAGAGCCAGGCAGAATCATGCGAATTGCAGGTTGCCTTCTGCACACCTTTCGAATTCATCTTTAAAGGCCGTTGATCAACTTGCGCCAAGGCTTGCGATCTTTGACGTTGCGCAATCGGTGGGCCGCAGCGTGTGCTGCCCAGACACAATTCTTACTTCAAAGCTTCTGCATATGATAACTGAGGTTGTCACTTTTAACGCTGCCCTGGCAGCCTTGGAGGTCCAAGTTAGACGTGGTTTGTGCGGTAGGATGTCTTCCATGCTGCAACTTCCATCCATATCAGCCGATATCCGTCCATAGGTAGCTGGCCAGTGGCAGCTGGCCCTAAGCTTGCTGGGCCCGGATCCAAGCAGCTACCGGACCAACACGACAAATGCCTACTATTTTGCTTGCCAAACATGCAGAGCATTGTCAGAGCATGATGAGGCCTATTTGCTCCAACACATGTGATTGGATCAAGCAAGGGTTTAGTGTCTCTCCATCACAACCTCTCACCATTGCCAGCAGTGCAGGGCGCCCAGCGGCAAATGTCATGTTTCCTGTTCAGTATGCCGAATGTGTCTATAGAGCTTGACCAGGCTGGCGATACATGGGCTGTGGTGCATCAGCTACACCAGCAGCATTTTCGCCCTTGGCAAAGGTGGAAGTTGGTAGAAGTCGATTTAAACAAAGCGGGATTCAAATGCAGGTCGTTCAGGCGCTGAATGAGCAGGACGAGCAAGACGAGGCGCTGTTGACACAGCTGGGGGCGCCTGTGTTCAGACGGACCAGCGACTCATCGACGCAGTGCCATGCCTTCAAGATGAAGCATACTTTGTGAAAAGGGATCCCTTACTTGTTTGTGGGTACTTTTTGTGATGAATGAGTGACGGGCGGGTTGCTGCAAGCACAACGTTTCTTGCAAATGGATTCTTGTTCCAGATTCTTTTTCAATACATGAGGATTCCCGCTGACTTGCGAGCGCTTGGACCTGACGATGGCTCTCCCATTGCCAGCTTTCCAGCCGGAAAACATCAGTTGAAGGCGAACCGTCTGCCTAGTCACACGAGAGAAGAAAGCAACGATAAGTGTGGAGCACTTTTCGTTGCAAATCTGATTTATGTTTGCGGCAGCAGGCTTTCTCAGTGCCTGCGCACTCTGAGCAAAGCTGCTTGCACGCTTCTGCGCCTATGGGTTCTGGAAGGAGCTGGTGCTGTATCCGGAGGTGAAGTTGGTTCCGCCGCATGTGGCTCTTCTGGCAGACTCCTGCCTTAAACTGGCAAGATCAGCTCGGCCGCTTGTTCGTATGAGCATTTGACTGGTCCGAGGAATGGGTTTCCGCAAAGCCTCAAGGGCTGCTGTGGCTGCCAGAGACATTTAATGGTGTCGTGCCTGTGGCCTTCCACTCAGATCAGT